ATCAAAATTACATTTTACTATGTTAGTAAAAAAGAAATGGCCCTAAAATAAAGTGTTTTGAAATATTTTTAATTTTATTTAAGAAAGATTTAGTTTTCTTCCTTTTATAACTTGAAGTACATTGAAACTTTTCGTGTTATAATTTGTGACGATATACTTTTAAAAAAATATTTATTTTTTCCATTATAAACCCATCAAATATTAGTTATATTTGTGTTTTAAAACCTTTTATCAAATAAAGAGGAATTTAGCTTTTGGAATGATATGTTGTCAGATATATCTGAACAATTAAACCTGGAAACCGAACAGAAATGGCATATTCAAATAAACATTAAAAAAAAAACATAATGGAATTTTTGAAAAATTTATCGTCAAGATTGGCCGACACTAAAGAGAACACTGTCAGGAAAATTTTAAATGGAGCGTAATAAAAGCTTTTATCGAAAATCTAAATAAGGAAAACTTCTTTTTGGAAATAAGAAAGAAACAGTTTGTTCAAAAAGCAATAGCATGAAATATCTAACATCAAATTCAAACAAAACCATTTATCTTTGAGGATCGAATTTCGATATACAGGAGCTCAATGTTCTTTAGCTTATTTCATTTTAACTAATCAATTAAATAGTTTATTTGTTTTCTTACAAATGAAATCAATCTTATAGGATATTGACATACAAAACCATGAATTTTCTTGTCATTTTCAACAAATTTTGAACAATTATATTAGTTTTAGTTAAATTCTATATTTATTTATATCTAAAAAGTCTATTATCTTACACTTTTTTAGTATTTAAAGTTTAAACAAATTGCTCTCATTACTATCTGTATTAACACTCTTTAGATTCAAAAAACCACCGAAATTAAATTAAATTTTGTCCATTTCAAATAGCTAGAATGCTTACAATTTAACAGAGGCTTTATGCTAGATGACAATAAAAGTTTCAATTGCTTTCTAACACAGTCTCAATTGCTTTCTAGCAACGTTTCCATTGCTTTTTTTAAATATGCCATATTATTATCAAAACAAACGTATCTTTGTTTAAGGTTTGGATCACTGTTTGACAAAGTAGAGTGTTTGAAGTTTGACTATGTACAATGACAAAGCTTTGTGCTCGTTATGGTGAAGAAAAGCCAAGGGTGTCAATTTATGTTGAGATATGGAAATCTCAGGTTGTTGGGAGTAGTTGGAGATATTGGCAAATTGAAGATTGCGATGAAATCAGGAGATGATGAAAATAATAGTTGAGCCGGATTAGAATTAATAAAAGGCTTTTATTTTATATACTTGCAGAGCTCGAGTTACAAAATATAAAAATCATTCATAAGAATTTCAATTGAATCAATTTTGTATAATAATATTAATAAGGACAGGCCATGGAAGATAAATCACCCATGACCTACCTATTCAAAAGCCAAATTAAAAAGTACATGTAAATTGTTCCCAGCGGACACAGAAGCAATGGTAGGAGATCCAAAATTGGCGATTTATTAAAATATAGCATAGCCAAAACAAAGCCAATCAGCATATCAACATGGATGTAAAAGAACACCTTGGCGATCACGAGTCGCCAACAAATTTATGTGAATTATTATAACCATGCAACCGAATCATTTAGCCGTTGGAAAATTAGAATAAAAAGTTATAAATAGATTTTTGTTTTCGATTAAAGGCGACAGTGAATATATATGTCTGCATTAGTAATGAAATAAAAAAGTATCCGTTACATTGATCTGGAAGAGAAGAAATGAATATTTTATGTTCGTTTAAAAAGATTAAGTTTTTGATTTATTTTAAATGTAATTCTTCTATTAATAAAAAAATCACCTTAAGTAATGAAGGATATTTTAAAAGATAGAAAATAAATATGTGTATGCCAATTGTGGCATCACACTCGTTAATGATTGAGATTTCTGTGCGCAACATGCAGACAGTGCAAATTTAACGCCAAATAGTCAATTGAAATTCTTGACCATTTTCCGACTCGATATAAAGTTATAGTTTTGGTTGTAGCACTGCGGCTTATGCTAATAATAATTACATTTGTGTCTTCTTCTTCTTCTTAACTCCTACCTAGTCAAATGAACCGATGCAGCTCATGTCGATCACAAACAAAGAAGAGGAGTAGATTTTTTCTCTGTTGAATCGAAGTATTATTTGTCTAACTTTTTCTTACACCATACAAATTTCATTTATTGTTATTGTATTTCTCCAATCAAACTTTCGACCACTTTCCTATTTAAGCAAACTGAATTCAAAACTAAAGGAAAAAGCTTATAACTGTGTAAAATAAAATATTAAAAACATTTTTAAGCAGACTAATAAATAAGAAAAATACATTTGGCAAGAAAGACACAAGATACATTAATTTTGTTATCACAAAATATCTCCTATATTTACACGTCTATTAAAATTGATGTGCACTACGTCTTTGATTCTAGATCTGAAAAATTAAATTATCTGAACTTTTATACCACCAGCCTGTAAAAACCAATAGTTTTAAAGCTTTTAATCTCATTAATTTCTATTAATGTGTATTTTTTATTTACGTAATCATTAGGAGAAGGATGATGATATTAAACATAGCAACAGTTCTTATATGCTTATTATTTGCGTAAATAAGAGAAAAATATATGCGGAAAATATAGTAATGCATATATTTTTCATATAATTTATTATATTTTTTATTGAATTAATACTAAAAAATACTGTCTTTTTTACTTACATTTTTAGGCCTTTGTCTAACACGATTGCAAAACTCTCACTCAAAACAATATAAATACTTTTTAAATGCAAGATAGTTTTATCAATTTTATTTTATTCAATTAATTATTTAATTTTAATTATTTCTATTTATTATTTTTCGTTTAATTACTAAGCAAATTTGTAAATACATTCAAATTATAGAGTAAGATTAAAAGGTAAACAGGACGCATATACAGAAATTTATAAAGAAAAATATAAGCATCAAACTTAATTAATGCTAAGGTATTAAATGATACTATATCTTTTAAGCTAGTTTCCAAATTTTAAAAAGTATTTTCTTCTTTGGCCACACATCTAGAAAAGTTTACATTATTTTTACGCACATCATTACTTTTTCACAAAATATTCAGAAATGTTAACAAAGATAATCAATTTTGCGCTTAGGCTAATGAATAAACACCACGCATATACGTAATGAAATAATTTAATTAAATGAAGGGAAATATTTGAACATTAAGTTTGCATAATATAAAATAGTACACATTATAAAGTTTATTAAAATTAAATTTCAATATTACATTCTGTTAAATATAATTAATTTAATTAGTAATATTAGTTTTATTTGTAGCTGCATTTGAGATAGAATCGATATTCTTTTTAAAAAAATCTAATTCTTTTTAGATAAAATGCACTCAATAAGTATTGGGATTAAAAATAGTTCTCATGACTTACTTACAAACACGACATTAACTTATTATCATTCCAACATAAATAAAATTTGATGAAATAAATTTAAAGTTTACGGATTAAAATCAGATAACAAAACGCAACATAAATTATAAATCAGTTCTCTGAATGCATCAAGCATTTAGATTACGCATTAATCTACAATTCAGTCCATAGTAAATTTAAAATTAGTCAAATGAAAGGAATTGCTAGCTTCGTAGATTAAGCTAATTATTCGGAGTTAATCAATGCAATTAAATTTATTCATCCATTTGGAGAATAAACTATAGGAGCGATTAGGACCATAAATATGTATGCCTAATGCAAGATTTTGAAAATCCTTGAACAGATTTTAACTGAAAGAAACTAGTATTAAGCATGACTATCTTATTAGTAAATAGCTTATGAATATGTATGCAACTGAATTCCTAAATAAATTAAGTATTTTCATATGTTTTTCATTTTTATTTTCTGCCCCTATTTTTGGAGTCCCGTTATTTTTTTTTAATGCATCTATGTCTGAATTTTTTTATTACATGATGTTTGAGAGTTACTTCGGAAAATTTAGGTAAATTTCCTAAATTTTATTTTGCAAATGAAATATATAGAAATGGTTTTTTGAACCGTGGGACTCCTCACATAGAATGTTTCTTTACTGATGTTTTCTCCTCAATTAAGGATCAAGCATGAGTAAACAAACTTAAAACCCTATTTTTTTCCGTCTAGTTGGGAATATTTTACCCAACTTAGACTATCAATTGTTATCAATGGATAACGCTTATATTTTTATTATTTTGGAATAAAGCATATCATTTTNCCATTGCAATTCACTTATTTCTATTTTTAATAGATTTAATTATAGCCAAAATTTCAACCTCTTTAAAAAGATATCAGTTTTAGAAATTTTATCTTAAGATTTTATACTATAGCACATTTCTAATAGGTTTAACGAATTACATGTCAATTATTTGAATCCAAATTTATTTTAATGACTTAGTATTTACTGAAAAGATTTATTTTTTTCTTTAAAAAAAGTTGTTATATGGATTTGAATGATTGTTTTGAATTCTTAGAATTTTGTGCATTTGCAATGTACCTAAGTTAGTAGCGAGCGAAGCGAGCTTGATTTGCGTCGCAAGCCATATAAGATTGCGTAGCAATTTTTGGGGGTTGGCGAGCGTTAGCGAGCAGGGGGCGCAGCCCATTAGTAAAAATATATTATCCTTATCAAAAATTCAATCTTTGTTTGGATATAATCAAATAATTACACGAAATTTTTTTTAATATTTTTTTTTACTTTTCTGTAAAAACATCATGAGTGAAACTCCAAACGACAAGAGAAAGGCAATCTGAAATATGTATTTCATTTAATCAGGAACTTCTGAGACTATAATTTATACATTCCCAACGAAAACTTTGGACTTTTATAGATGCATGGAATACTATGCTCAAATATATTACGTGTAAAGTTTGAGTTTAATTCACCTTTCACAAAAAAGGAAAAAAAAAGGCAAAATTAGACATAAATTCCATATTGGTGAAATTTATAAAAATATAAAAAGAAGCTTACCAAATATTCCAAGTCGGAAATTAATGGTGATGACAATTACATTGCCTGCACTGGCCAATACACTGCCATCATATGGATTTCCGGAATTCCAATCATATGACTCTCCATGAATAAATACCATGACAGGAATTTTTGATTTAGAGTTTCTTGGGCCTTTAAGAAAAAAACAAATTATATAAGTTGCATAAATATAAAAGATCGAATTTAGACACTTCAAAAGCATTTTATGCCAGAAATTTTGAATATATAAATAAAATGAGAGAAAGTATGGTCAGAAGGATAAAACATAGTAATCGTGTTTCTGATTTTATGGGAACACCAGAAAGAACTGAAAATTTTACAGAATTGGGATAAAATTAACAATAAAATACAGTTTTATTACCATGCTTTTTGGTAGTAAATGGGATAATATTCATTAATTTTAACAGCACTAGTATAATTTGAGATGACACAAAAATTTTCAGTTTGATAACTTAATTGTACTTCAAAATTGCCTCAATTGAATAACATTTGAGTATTGTGCGAAAAGCATTGATCAGTGGTAACAAAATAGAGTCAAAAATTTAAAATCAAATAAAATTCTCTGGCCATTTCTATACCTGGCCATTTCTATACCTGACCTTTAATATACTGTTTAAAATATTTATAAGTAATCGAGAAAAAAATTTCTTTTAATTATTATTGTTTAAAATATTAATACACTATCTTTGCTACCACTGGAAATACATTTATGCATATGTGGGTATATATTATAAGCTTAACTTGTATATTTAATTAAATCGAGAGCGTTCAAAACTGTTGATAGTTCAGGGTACCCGGGCAAAGTTGGATTTATTGACTGGCCGAATTCTTCTGTTCCGTGTACCCAGTCGTGTATTATAATATTTATACAACATAATAAAGAAATTGTATAACTATCTATTGAACAAATAACTTATAAGATACAGTTCCGCAGAATTTTATTGCACACCGACATATAGTAAAAATATGTGTTTTTATTTTTAGTTTTTCTTAAACTGAACTTAAAATTGTTTCCAAAAGAAAATTTGGATAATTTTTCGAATGTAGAAAGAATACCATGAAAACTATTAAAATGGGGACATCCGCTAATAGTAGACTTTACAAATTAGTAATTTTTCATTTAATTTACTGAAGTTTTCAATATTATTTATTAATGTAGCTATTATTAAATTCAGGATATTTAGAAAATATTTTTATAAAATGACAGTATATAGCATGAAAATTGTTTTAGCTATCAAGGTTTAATTTTTCATCATCCACACTCTCAGAAATACAACTCTCCCTTTTGACGAATCAGAAATCATTCAGCTATATTACGTTAATTTTAAGATTTTGTCACAAAGTCACGAGATTTGTGACGAAAAGCGAACCTTCAAATGTATGACGAAAAGGTTTCCTCCATTCGAAACCTCACCGTAGTGCTTTGTGGAACATTATTACTAGAATGATGAAACTAGAATGAAGACTAGACGGTCGAAAATAAAGTGACGGAATAAACCGGCTGGTGTGTATGCTAGTCAAGGAATCGGCCTCGTACCAGAAAGATTACGGTGTATACTACCGCTTCTGGCGTGGGCGTAATTTATCTCTATGTTCTATCTTTTTTTCTTGTCTTGTCAGGATATCCTTCATCCACCTACATGGTGCCTACGATAAAGTAATTATTAGAAATGTTAGATACTTTTGGCACTTTTGGTAAAAGGGCGAAATATTTCTTTAATTTTGAAAAATATCGTTTCCTCAAAGAAGTGAGGATAGTTATTCCGTCATTTTAACGAAAAAGTCATTCGGAGCATAAACATGGAAACGGTTTCGGGATATTTGAGTATCTATTTTTTTGTGAAATAGCTAAAAACGCAATTTGAGTGCAATGAAAACTACCTTAGTACTATTTCATAACATCAGCTAGATATTTTATTACATTACGAATTTTGAACAGAAGATTTATAAAGTGGTTTCGCTGTGTCCTTAATGCTGCGATATCTCCGTATCGTAGTAAATTTTAACAGACAAAAGATAAAATAACTTCTAGATGAAGCAAGAAACAAATTAAAAGTTTGCCTTCATTAAAAACATTAACTAACTTAAACTAACTCGTATTGATTAGTTAGACTGTAAGAGTACTTTAATCAGATGGGTAAGAAATTGAACTTATTGAGCTAAAGAATAAGGAACTCGCTTCCTTATTCTAATAAAAATATATTTTAAATGCAAATCTTCAATTTTAATTTTGAGCTTATTGAACTAAGCTATTAATTTAATTAAAATAATTTTCATCATTAGAAATCGGGTATTGTTTGCTTGGAATATACCATTGAACCATCCACGACACAATTAATAATATTCTCCCATTATCTGAAATATAAATTGTCAGTAAACTGATAAAATGAAACTTTATGAGCTTTTCAGTTTGGTTATTGAAGTCAAATAATTCATAGACTTTAATGAACAGTTAATAAACTCTATTATGTTATAATGTGAGCAATTTACCTAGTTAGGTGTTCACTTCATCGCAGGAGGTTATTAAGCTTTCCTCTGTCAGTTTAGTTACAATTTCTTCCACTGTGTTAACTGAGTTATTTTCTCCTTAATTATAAACTGTCAGTATCAGAGAAGTATTTATTAGACAGTAGCTTAAAATATAACGAATATTATTGAGATTACAAGTTAAATTCCTGACAGAATTTATATTATACTATATCTCAGCTATATCAATGAGACGGAACATCAAAATTAATCTTCCAAAATATTTTAAATGCTATATTTTTAGTTAATTATCAGTTAAATATTTCGTATTTTTTGTTAATAATCCTTTATAGAAAATCAGTTTAACATTTTTTTGAATTTTTTTATAAACATTTTTTCGAAATTTTTTTTTATTATTGTTATAAATAATCCTTATAAATGTAATACGTTATTGATGGTGCTTGATATATACGTTAAATATGAATAAATATATAATGTTCACATACAATAAATTTTTAACAGTAATCCAAATTAATATTTACACTATATTTAAATCTTTTCTTAAAGTTGAACTTAATTCATTTCAACAGTTTTCTCGTCTCATATTAAGACTCGACGCTCTCGATGCATTTTAATATGCATTTCTACATAAAGAAAAAAAGTTTGACAAAATTACCGTACTTGCATGGAAAAGACATCTCTTGTATAAATAAAATCGTAATTTTGGTAATTCAACCAAAATATATCGTCTTTAAATCATCTATTTGATAATTTTATAATTTTTCTGTTCGTATGTTAACTGTTTACCGGAAATACCGGTTTTCAAAATTGTGAAGCAACAGTAAAAATCACAAAACTGAACAGTTCATTTAACTGAGTAAGGCATCCTGATAAAATTAGCATATTTTATCGCATATTATAAAACTATTTTTATTGTTAATTTGACTAAAATCATTACCCAAAATACTCCGGCAAAAATGATTTTCATGCCATGCTATAAGGTATCATGCTAAAGTTACCAAACTATTCTTCGGAACTCTTCTTCCTTTTACCATTTGTTTGATAATTTCAATCATTTGATCTCCATGCCTTTTATCAAGCAAAATAGTAATGATATGCTTTATTTAAATGGCAAATAATAGTAAGGTGATGGTTAATTATTTTATTTCTTACTATATATCCCGATTACATCAAAGGGATGATGATACTAATTGCAGCTTTCAAGCGTTTCAATGATGCTAAACTCGGATAGATCAAGCAATGCTTTCTGTTTTATGCATTGCTTATTGGGGCGGGGATTTATTTAATTATTCGCAAACTTATGTAGTTTTCTTTATTAAAAATAAATTTTAGTACCAAACAAAATTCATGAAAAAACGTATTGAATAATTTAATAGTTATAAAATGTAATGAAGTAATAAATAATAATGCAATATAGTAATGTAATGTATAGTATATTTTTGCAATACATTAAGAAATCGCAATATAACATATTAGTACATTACATAGTTAATAATGATGTAATGTAGAAATTAATAATAATAATAAAATAATAAATAATGTTGTTCTGTTGTTCTAATANTATATATATATTAAATAACTTAAATAAATTATAAATTTCAAAGAAACACGTTCGAAAATTTGAACAAATGTTATTATTTCATGTAGTGCTATAATTGCAGTTAGGTATGAAATGATTATGGTATTAATGCGATTATCGACTTCAATAATTTTAAGTTCATTTAATATTTTTGATTTTCGATGTTATGCTTACTTCAATGCACAAATAATAGCAAACGAAAAAAACTTGAGCAATTTCATTTGTCAAAACATTCTCATTTACAAATAATATTAACAAAGAAACGTTTTCTGAATTAAACTATAATCACTAAAACATAGAATTAATTTTGTGTTTTGCCTTCTTTATCCGTTTATATATTAGCAGTCAATTAAAATTGTATGAAATCTATGCAAACACATTTACAATATTTTAACAGTAAAATAAACTGAATTGTAAGGAAACATATATTAGAATTATTAATATTTATAAAATTCGAATTTAAAATAGCTTTGAAATCAACGACTTATAATTTTCAACATCCCAGGTAAACTAAACGAGCGCTTTTGAATCACAAAAGAAAATTATATTACTTATTTTGATCCATTGTTTGTTGATTTCGCGAACGCCAAACTGAAAAGGATTTCATTGCTAAACATATTGGTAATTCAAGTTCTAAAAGGGGGGATAAAAAATCTATTCCTCTGTGAACAAAAGGCTTGCATTTCAGTATAGATATTCTACAAGAACATAGCATAAAATAAAATCTCAAAGGATTTTCGAATCTTCCTTACCCAAACAAAACAGCTATTCAAACGCGGATGTTATTCAAGTTGACAATTGCAACTCGTAAACAGCGGAATTGAAATGTCACTATGTCAAGCTGTAAAACTAACTCTTTTCAAGCACTTATATTGCACTGATATTGTATTTACTTCAGAAGAAGAGCATCGCATATGAAATACTTATTGTACTCAACTTTTGGGATTAGATAAATATTTTTACAATGCATTATTATTTCAATAATAAACGCCTTTGAAAATAGTGACTGTTTTATATTGAATTATAAAGACATTCATACGGTTATAAAGTTTAGCGGTACTTCACG